CACCAATGTACAAGAAGGACAGTATCATTCTAGAATATTTGGATCTTTCCTTCTTTGCTCAGGGGAGTAAGGGGAGACATTTCCATCTGCAGTCTCAGATGGACAGGAAGTGTACGTTCCTGCTGCTTCTGACTGCTCCAGATAAACAGTCTTTTCTTTATGGGACCTGACTTTTTTAGAAAACAACCAGGTATTCAGGGACTGGGCTGCTCAGCACAAGTAACCCACCAATCCTTTTAAATAATATCCCTGTAATCCACTTATACTCTTACATTTCTAATATAGTATTTATTTCTAAATCAGGGGTCCTCAAACTTTTTAAACAGGGGGCCAGTTCACTGTCCCTCAGACTGTTGGAGGGCCAGATTGTGGGCCCTGCAACAAGTCGGCTGCTAAGCAGGACAGGCAGTGGTGGCAAAAATATCCAGCAGGTCGGATAAATGTCCTAGGCGGGCTGCATGTCACCCATGGGCCGTAGTTTGAGGATGCCTGAAATAATTAAATTAGATCACTTAGCTTTATATTTAAATAAAGCTAGTTGGCTCCAACTATTTTAACCATCTCATTACAAAGTGGTTTCTGTTATGGGAGGGCCAAAAAGAATTTGTTCAGGAAACTCTACCACAATGATATTAAAGAAAGGTATACATTAATATATTATCTTAAAAGTACAATCCTTACACCTTACTCTACCTCCCCCCGCCCCCAAAAGAAAGAAGAGTAGAAGAAGTTCTACTATGGTATACAACAGAAGGGAAACCAGCTGGCAATCTCTCCAACATCATGTCACTGTGGTGGTACAGCCTCCTGGTTTCAGGATGGACAGAGTTTCACAGAACATGCACGTGAGACAAAAGTGACAAGAATATTGTTAAGTCAACTAAGATCCTGAAAAGGTCAATAAGAACTCTATCACATCCCAAAAGTATTTATCTTAGGTCATCTCTAATGAACCCAAAAGAGCCAGCATATTTCGCAGGGGCTAAATAAATTTTTTTTAAAGGTTAACGGAAAACTATTTATGTGAAAAGTGCCTCCAAATAATCTTTTTGTGGGTGGATTCGGCACATACCAGTGAATACCTTTGAGCTTAGTCCAATTCCGAATTAAGCTAGAGTTCACCTTTAAGAAACAATGAACCTGTTTTTAAGTAAAACTCTGTATTAATAACATGGAATGTGAATATAAAAAAGAGATATTATCAACTGAACTGTATCTAAATATTTTACAAAGTTTTCCATGAGCTGTCAGTAGATTTTTAAAATGCATGATCTTTTTCAAAAAACCTGTTAGTCATTCATCTGTGAGAATCTAGCTTTTTATGTATATGCCAAGCACAAAATTGCCCTATGCTAAATTTAACATAAACCTCACATTACAGAGTTCTGTTTTCTTGTACTTCAATGAAACTGTGACAGTGATTCAAAGGGTAAAAACACACTTAGACAGTCTACCTTCTGCTGCATTTCCGTACAATGAAGAAAGCCTGAGCAGCATGCAAAAATTAGGTCCATATTTTAAATCTGCAGGCAATCAAGCCAGGAAAATAAATTGAGGAACCAGGCTATGTAATCACAATCACTTGCAAAACCATTTAAACTATTTTTTAGTTGTAATTGTTAGCAGTTTCTTGTGACTGTAATCTTTAAAAAAACATCTTCCACTTCAAAAATTAAAGGCACATGTACATTAACATTTCTGTCTACTTATAGTTAGGTGCTATCTATGCCAGATTAAAATTCCCTCTTTTCTCCTTTCCAATTCTGCATCCCTTCTTTTAATTTTTGTACATTACCCCCTTACAAGTTAATTTCATATTATTTACCCAAATAATGAGTGACTAAAATTTTGCTTTTTTTTTTTAAAGAGCCAGGGTCTTGCTATATTGCCCAGGCTAGACTCAAACTCCTGGGCTCAAGTGATTCTCCCACCTCAGCCTCCCCAGTAGCTGGAACTACAGATACTACCATGTCTGGTTCAAAAATTTGATCTTTAAAACCACAATTTTGAAGTAATATAGAATTTAACAAAGACGACATAACAGAGAAAGCCATTTCATAATGACAACGGTGTGTTTCAAGGATGTAGTCATTTTAAAAATGTTACCATAATTAAAAATTCTCAACATTATAAATTAGCATACATAACTCTTAGCACAATGAATAAGATGTAAAATGCCTGTTCAAGGTCAGACAGTGTTATCAGTATTGGTGATCTCAAATTCCTATCTACCCCCACATGTACCACCCTGAGAGATCCCTGCTCTAACCTTTGCCTGCAAAATGCCAACTCAGGTATTCTTCCCAGGACATAAATAATTCAGAGCAGAATTTCAAACTTAAGGAACTGATTAAGTAGAGGGGAAGTTAACTGAAATCTATGAATCTAAATTAATTTTTAACTATTGGATTTGTCACCTGAGTGATCAATTCCTAAGCAGAAACCAACTATTTCCTAATGTTATACATACGTAGTTTTGAGCTAGCTGCAGGGGGACTCTGGAGCATCACTAGTGAGAACCAGCCCTTGGGGAGTGAAAGAGATGCTCTTGGGAGCTCAACAGCCTTCATCCTCTATGGCAACCCAGGGAATGAGCCATTCAGGGCTCACTCAGAAGAGTCCTCTATCAGCCTCCTCACCCCTCACAGCTGTAGTGGAGGAAAAAGGAGGGAGGGAACATTCTTTCTCCAAATGTTCAAACTGAACCATCCTAGGGAGAGTAATTCCTAAAGGGGAGTTTCATTAAGTTTTAAAATGACTTCAGATAACTCTATCACTTCTAACCGTCTATCTAAAGCAACCCTTTTATGCATTTATACACATTTCTGATCACTTAAACTCACTGACCTCTCTGTTATGTCCCTTCCCATACTTGCAGAGAACTTCTAGAATTCTTTAGCAAGTTAAAAAAAAAATAGGCTCGGCACCTGTGGCTCAAGTGGCTAAGGCGCCAGCCACATACGCCTAGGGTAGTGGGTTCAAATCCAGCCCGGGCCCACCAAACAATGATGGCTGCAACCAAAAAATAGCCAGGCGCTGTGGCAGGCACCTGTGGTCCCAGCTACTTGGGAGGTAGAGGCAGGAGACTCGCTTGAGCCCAGGAATTGAGGTTGCTGTGAGCTGTGATGCCACAGCACTCTACCCAGGGGAATAGCTTGAGGCGCTGTCTCAAAAAAATAAATAAATAAACAAGCACATAAAGCTAGGGGATAAAGTATCACTGTTTACAATGATAGAGCTTGCAGTTATCTGTAGTATAATCTCATGTTAAAAAACTGTCAAGTTAATAACTATTTGACATCTATATTCAAATATATAACATTTATATCCCTTGGAAAAAAATCTAGTGTCAAAATGTAACTATCAAGAATAAACTACATATTCTTAGTTTACCATGTGTATGCAGAAAACATCTGAGACAAACAGTATAAGAAAGGAACTTCTGGCAAGTCGTATCATTTTTACAAAAGAAAGAAGGGAGGAAGTATGAAAAAAATCAACACTGATTATGTGCTAATTAGGAAACAGGTACTATGCTAAGTATTTTACATAAAACTGTAATCAATTTAATGTTTCTTACATTCCCTTCTCACCAATATATTCAAACATCAAAGAAATTCCACACAAACTCTAGGAATCCTCCACTGGTTTCATTTTTTCCCTGGGCTACGTGCTAAAACCATCACATTCATCATCCTATATACATAGTCCAAAGGCCCAGAAGCACATTAACTTAGATTATTCCCAGAAAGTAATCCCAAAATACCATTACCTCACTGAAATTTTCAAGAGAACAATTTTGATGAACCAAGAATTCCATTCTGATAAGCATGCTTTGGTAAAAAATTTGTCACAAATTTCATTATGCTTCAAGAAATGAAGCTGCTAACATCTAAGATTAAAGATCTTTCTTTATGACAACTCACAGATTTAAGTTTTTTCGCTGTCCAGAGGTTGCAATGAAGAGATAACATAGGGTCAGAAATGAGGTCAATTGGGTGTTTTCACTGATCAATTGTTTAATTCACTAATTTTAGTAAAATGGTCACTGCAGTAAGCAAGGTAGAAGGAAAAAAATCTCTGTATGTCCAATACAAAATATCTTGATCAGCCCAGCATGGTGGCTCACTTCTGTAGTCCTTGCACTTTGGGAGGCTGAGATGGGTGGACTGCTTGAGCTCAGGAGTTCAAGAGCAAGACCTCATCTCTACTAAAAATAGAAAAATTAGCTAGGCGCTGTGATGGACACATGTAGTCCCAGCTACTTCAGAGGCTGAGATAAGAAGATTGCTTGAGTCCAAGAGTCTGAGTTTGCTGTGAGCTCTGACACCAGGTTACCTGACCCAGGACAACAGAGTGAGAGATTCAACCTCAAAAAAAAAAAAAAAAACCTGATGATATACATCTGAAAAAAGAAATAAACTGAAGCTGATTGTTAAATGTCTGACAATACTCTAGGCAGGATAAAACTGGGAGCAATTTTTTCCTCACATTTGGTGACTTTAAGAAAACATTAAAAATTCTAATGACTCAGCAAAATGTGAGAAATGCAGAGGGCAACATAAAGTGAAAACAGAATAAAACTTGTATCCACGTTATAATACAAAAATTTGTATACACTAAAACAACTGGAACAGTAAAAGTTGATTTGGTAGCACAACCGGCTTGTAGATATGCAATAATGCTTCTTTTTTGATTTTTTTATATTATGATAATGTTGTTTCAATAAAAATGACTACTTAAAAAGAAAATGCCATTACTATGTGGATTAAATGGTCCTCCATCTGTAATGGTCTAACCATAATGAAGGATATGAGTGTCTGTGTCTTAGTTTTGCAGTTATTCTATTAGTTATGGGAGAGCAAACACCATAACTCCATTGTACCCTCCATAATACTGGGTACACTGAACCCAGACAGACCTAATGAATACACAGGGATGGCTAGTTATGGAACCACTGATGAATACCAACAGCAGATGACATAAAAATGAGAACTTACTATTATTTGGTGGTTCAGGAAACCCAGCCTTTGGACCACTCCAGCCTTTGTTTTCCCCTGTCTGAAAGATTAAATAAATAAATTGTTTAAATACAGAAAAATAGGCTTATTCAAAAAGAAAAATATGTTGACTAATCAATTAAGCAAAGACACATGTCTCTCACATAGTTTTCTGTGTATTCTCTCCATCTCTGATCTCAGGACAATGGCTATAAGCATAACTAACATGAATAGTATCATCTATATTCCTTTTCTGGTCTGAATTATTTCTTATGCCTCCTTTTTTTATCTGCTCATTCAAAGCTATAATTTAAGGTGTCAAGAAAGCCCAATAATCAGTGTATGTATTATAGTGAACATAACCTTTAGCTTGATCATAAATAAGTAATTCTTATTCAAACAGCAAGCAGTAATCATCATAAATACTAAAGTAACTAAAATATTCTTTATCACTTCTGAGGTCAGATTAATAATAGAAATGTTACAATGTTCATTCTGGAGAAGTCCGACAATAAGCATCACTAAATACTGCTAATGACATATACAAAACTTTGAAAGCTAAGTCCTAACTTTAAGCAAAACATGTACTATCTGGACTTTTGCCAGAAGATCTGTTTGGTATAAAATACAATTCAAAACACAGATATTTTTAGTAGGTATTATAATCAAATTAGTAAGTGACTTTGGCTGGTTATGTTTTCTTTTTGAGGAACTGGTATTATTGATATGAAATATTCAGGGGGTTATTTCTTATTGTGATCAGCATTTTATATTTTTATGTTATCAGATGTCTAAGGCCAAATGGATTAAATCAAATTCAGATATAAACATAAAATACAATTTAGCAGTTTGTCAATATTCATTTGTTAAAAAAATTATTATTGAATTTTGTCTCTTTCATTTTGATTTATTATACATCTTAGGCAACAAAGAAAGATACAGTGGTAGACAACAGAAGCAAAAATGAAAATAAAGAATCCTGAAAAATAAGTTCACAGCACATCAGAAAGAGCCCACAACATCATACGAAAGAAAAGACAACCCTTTCTCCCTTTACTTATTTCTTTTACCTCTTTAAGACACAAATTCCTCTCTTACTCCATGTTTGACATTCTGAGAGATGGCTGCTATAACCTTTGACTGCAAAATGCTAACCCAGGCATTCCTCACAGAACAGAAATTACCGGGTAATAAAATGGACTGATAGTAGTAACAGCTGACAGGTAACAATTAAAGTGTGGTTGCTAATGTACTAAGTGTTTTGCATGAATATGGATTGTCTCATTTTCATCCTCACAAAAATTTTGTAAGATAAGTGATATAAATACTCAATTTTACAAAGAAACAAATTAGGGAGAAAGAGGTTTAATAATTGGCCTCGGGTCACATGGACAGTATATGGAGGTGCCAGGACATCAACCTAGGTTCTCCATCTGAAGAGACAGTGACCATGCTACATTCGTACTATCATTATTAGGAAAGAAAGAAGCAGGTGGATAAAAGAATAAAAACGAAAGTTATGGTTATGGATGAGGTGTACACTGGGCATTTACCATTTACATCTAAGAACGAAAGAGCTACACAGGGACGAACAGAGTTTGGAACCAGTAAGACCAATGTGCTGGAGGCACGGCTGGGATGTAAATACTACCGCAAGAAGAAAGGAGGACCAGACGCAGCCGCGTATGAGGGATGAGAGGAAGTTAAAAGATTTTGAAAAGCTGAACTGTTATTAGTGTGAAAACCTGGTGGACAGAAGCAAAATATATTCGATTTTTAATTCTTTCCTTACTTTTAATTGTATTCATACCTCCAAAATGTAGTGTGTACTTATCAAACTGGTGTCAACTGTTTGGGTTCTTAGAGAAGTACTGATGTTCCAGGAAACGTGGAGCAGTTTCACGATTAGATGCACAATTCTAGGCACTTTCCAAATAAGTAGATTTTCAATTTTAACGAGTGGAATTAAGTAAAATCTGGTCCATTCAACTGTACTAATTTCTTCTTTCCCTTACCTTGCTTTTGTTACCTTAATAACTGAATTTTAATCAGCAGGTGACATTTGATTTTTCACCTGAAAGCTACAGCTAGTGCCTAGATTTCTCACTCTTTTAGAGATCACTGTTTGGAGAGTAGGGGTAAAGGGTCAGCGGGGACAAGGCCAAGGAAGTTATCAATGAGAACTGTCTCCTGGAAAGGGGAATGCAGCAGGCACAAAGTACAGCTCATCCTCTAGATCTTTCTTCTGTATTCTATTTTCGTATTTTACACTTCTATCACTTCCTTTACATCTGTAAACATGCTTTTTCTCAACTGAATTGCAGTCCTTCCAGCCTTTGATTTTTCCCCTATCTATGGTACTACTTGCAGCTTACTTTCCTATCTGCCTCACTGGGTGGGACCCTGGAGCATTTTTCCTGGGGCTATCAACTATGAGCCCTCAGTCCTTCTGTAGACTTTGCAAATCCCTAATCACAGACCAACCAGTATGACCTGTTTTCTTTCACATCCAAGATTTCATGGTCTGCAGAACTTTATAAAATGACATCACTTAAAATCTGTAGATTCTAACCCCATTTTGATAATCAGTAATCTCTATAATGCACTCTTCACAGTGACTGGCCATTCCTGATACAAACAGATAGACTGGCTTTTAATCCAATGAGGATATTTCCCCTGTTGTAAGAGGATGTAGGATGAGCAAATGTTTATAAATCCAGGTGTATGTTGGTAGGAAAGCTGTGGGGCCTCCAATTTCTATGTTCTCTGTGAAATACAAAATTAAATCAAAGAATGAGAGGAACGTTGATTGAGGGAGGCTATGAGTTTGAGGAAGGTGTGGAGACTAAGGAACAAGTCACTTTAGGGTGGAGAAGAGCTGGCTGATTAGGAAAATGCACATTCCCAGGCTTTTCAGTTCAGCTGAAGTTGATAATAATATACACACCACTGTGTTCCTCCTTTCTTAACTCTTCTACTTCTAACAATGATTAAGGTTATTTAAATATTAAATTATATTCTTTATGTGTAATTTCTCTTCTTCAACCAAATACTAAGCCTACTGCTCTCTGATTTCTAACCCAAGGCTTGTATAAGGTTTCTATTTAAACATACCAGAAGGAGTACTTTCTTCTGTATCCCAAAATATTTCTAAAATCCATAAACACACAGACCAGACACACACACACACACACACACACACAGACACATAACCTGATAGTTCTGCTTTTTTAGAGAACCATAACACAGTAAGTATACTTTCTTCTGTATCCCAAAATATTTCTAAAATCCATAAACACACAGACCAGACACACACACACACACAGACAGACACATAACCTGATAGTTCTGCTTTTTTAGAGAACCATAACACAGTAAGTATGCAAAAAGTATTTTTAAAAAAAAATCAATGAAATTAACTGATTAATTAAATTAATGCTGTGTTTTGTTCTGCTTGCTTTCAATTAACTGACAAATGTCTATGAGGAGATTTATTTTGACATATTTTTATAGATCACTCACCAGTTTTAAGTCAAAATAAATGTGTTAAGTTAAAACAACATATATACAACATAAGATCTACAGACTAGATCTAGAACTAGATCTAGAAACTAGAACACATGTTAGGTTTCATGTTACAAATACTTTTAAAAGAAGAAAAAGCACTAACTAGCCAGTTTATAAAAACAGAATCAAAATCTCTAGCAATACCATGCCAATGATTTTTTAATCATTCTAAATAATTGCCTAGATTATAATGACCACCTTAAAAAGAAAAGTATATATAAGTATTTTTAAAAGATAATTTTTTTTACTCTAAACTTCAGAAATGTGTTCCTGTAGAAACTAAAAGTACCTCTGAAACAGAATCCCTATGTGAGAAAAGGACCTTCTCAAAAGCATAGTGCTTTTGACATAATTATTAAGCCTACTTCATAAATGTTCATATAAATAAAATGTATAATAGTTCTACACATGCACACATAACAAAATGATCATTTAATACAAAATGAAAGTAAGCCAGTATCTGCCAAATTATCTGCCATGTCCTGAATTCGGGGTTCTCTGCTTCTCTTACCACAGACATAGGTGTTAATGATGTCGTTAACTGCTGCAAAAGAAGTAGGGGACCATGAACACAGGTCTTGGCAGAAATAAACACCCTCAGAATTTACCTTTAGATTTAAAGTAAATAGAAAAATTAGTTTATAGAGTGTCTGTCCAACACAGTTCCTGCCCTAAAGGGATAAGTCATAATTTTTATTTCCAGTGTTTTCAGCTATATTTCAAAAATAGGCCAACAACTTCTGCTCTTAAAAGGTATAAATTAAGACTTTGTGTATATGGCAAAAAAAAAAAAAAAAAAAACACAGAACATTCACAACAGTCAATAAGTTAAAAATATTAAGTTGGTATTATATAAAATATGTATAACCATATGATAAATCTTTTGTATTTGCTAATCATAAAATCATTCATTAATATCTCATCTGAAGTGTATGTTGTACTTGGATCAGCTACATTCAAAGATAAAGAACAATGCCTCAGAAAAGTTAAAATTGACATATAAGATCACAGAAAAGTTAAAATTGACATCTATGATCAGAATTTATTAATCCCTTTGGTACTCTGACAAAAAGGAGACACATGTAAACTTAACTCTCACCTTCTCAAGCTGATCCTGAAGACTAGTAGATGCTTTATAACCCAGTTGTAATAGCATTGCTTCTGCAGCATTTTTTTTGGCTATCTTTTTATTAGGTCCTGTTCCTGTAGCAACTTCATTGCCTACCTTGACCTGGTAAAATTAAAGAAAGAAATCAATGATAGCTATTTGGGTAAACAGGAAATCATTACCTCACAAAGCAATGTATTTCTTATACTCTCTAGCACTAAAAAATATAAAGGTCAGTCCTAAGTAATATAACATTTATGTAATATTGTATATGTATGAAAAATATGGGAAAATGTTCCTCAAAATATCAGTGGGGGTTATCTCTGGATGGTAAATTCTATTTATTTATTTATTTATTTTTGAGACAGGGTCTCATTATGTCACCCTCAGTAGAATGCCATGGCATCACAACTCACAACAACCTCAAACTCTTGGGCTTAAGGGATTCTCTTGTCTCAGCCTCCCAAGTAGCTGGGTCTACTATCTGTTATAAAATGGATGTGGTTACTTGTGTTGATAACTAGATTAAAAAAAAAAGAAAATTTCTGATAACATTATTTGGGTACTTAGTTCCAAAGCAGATTTCTTAAAGGTTTTTATTTTTTTAGTGAGAGATATTTTAATTTTTCAACGGAAAATAATGATAACTAAATTGCATATCAGCACACTATATAACTATATATCCCGTGATAACACATATTAACTTTTCTACCTGTGATTAAGATTTCAGGGTAGTTACATATATATAAATCAAATTTCATCAATTTTATTTGCTTTTCAATGAAAGATAATGGTTTACATTTTTGGTACATGCTATTCAGAGCTTTTTTGTTTCTTAGTTTTTTGAGGAATTGATTCTTCCTGTGACTGATTTGTTTAATTTAAAAACAAAAATCTGGCAGTCTTAAATTTATTGCATAGTAAAATAGTTGGGCTTCTTTGAAGATAGAAATTAACATTTTAAAATAGAGACATTATTGAGAATAATTACAAAATTTGTGAGATTTCATGAACATAGATCCCGAAGTTCTAAACAGTATAATGAATAAAGCAATATATAAATAGAAGAAGAATCATGATAAAGTTGGGCTTATTCCAGAAATGCAAGGTTGGTTTATCATCTGGAACTCAGACAAAAAGCAATCTATGGAATCTGCTATACTAATTTAAGGAGACAAACCATATGTTTATCCTAACAGAGCAAAAGCATCTGAGAAAATTCTACATTCATCCATAATAAAAACAATTAGTAAACCAGGGAAAGAAGGGAGCTTCCTTAATATAAAAATGGACATTTTACAAAAACTTACAGCAAACCTCAGCAACCATCGTACTAAATGTTGAACAAAAGAGATTAGAAACAAGGCAAGGATATGCTCTATTATTAGTAGTATTTAACATTTTACTACAAACCCTGGACAGAAAAATAAGGAAAAAAGAAAAAGATGAGTCAGAAGAGAGGAAAAAAGCCCTCATTATTTACAGATATATTAATATATAGAAAATCCAAAATAACTACAGAAGAATTATTAAGAATTGATAAGAATATAACTAGCTCTCTGCATAAAAAGGTCAGCATACAAAAGACAACTGCATTTCTACATTCCATTAACATTCAAGTAGGAAATGAAAACTATTAGAAGATACCATTTACATTAAACAAAAATGTGCAAGGCCTCCACACAGAAAACAAAAACATTATTGAAAAACGTTAAGAAAACCTGACAAATGGAGCAACTTGCAATGTACATGAATCGAAAACAACAGTAGTATGATCAGTCAGTCCTCTTCAAACTGACCTACAAACTCAATGAACTGCAATCAAAATCCCATATATATTTCTACATTACTTGACAAAGGGATTCCAAAATTTACATACAACACTACATAGAAATGCAAAGAACAGTCAAGATCCTTTTGAGGAAGTACAAGGTGGGGGCATTTACTTGATTTCTAGACTTAAAAGTTAACAATAAAGGAAAAGACAAATAAATCTGACTGCATTAAAATTAATTATGCCTATTCTTCAAAAAGCACTACTAAAAAAAGGAAGAAAGGAAAATCAACACAAGAGAAGATATTTGAAATGCCATATAACTGGGCTCCCATCCAGAATATATAGTAGATTCCTGTAAATGCATTTTTAAAAAAGGCAATAGAAAAATTAGCAGGACAGCTGACCTAGCAATCCATATCTAAAGTCTGATTGTTTTACCAGATGTCACTGTTTTTGTTTAAAAAACAAAATTAGAAAGCTGCAAGAACTTCCTGCCACTTTAATAAAATTTCACAATGACAATACACTGGGTACTAATGATCAATCAATACAACATACAACAAAATTCAGTTTTCAGAAATAACAGTATGATACTTCTATCCACATTTTCATTTCTGGCCCTTGTGTGAAATCATAATATTGGCTGTTTCATCTGTCCCACAAAATACAGATCCCCATTTGGTATCCACGCTTGAATACTGTTCAACATTTACTCTTATACAATTAATTACGATGAGCTTAAGTTTTATTACTATTTCCATCGCCACTTTAATGAATAAACCACTTTTAAGGATTGGGGAAATACAGTCCAATGGTAACAAAACACAAACTTAACAAATATTAACAATAGCAAATGATATGAAAAAGAAATCGTACTTTCCCAATAATTTTAGTCAAGACAAACTAAATGACATAATTACTGTAACATATGAAACACTAAAAATTATCAAATTACTGTAACAACTATCACAAACTGTGTAGTTCACTTCTGTAAAACGTTTTTGAAACATTTTACTGCTATTTCTGAAACCAGAACCCGCCATATTTTAACAAATCAGAAGAAGTAGTCTGTGGACCTGTCTCTGAGAAGCACTGATCTAGTACAGTCAAGGCAGATCTCTGGAGCAGGATGAACCCACCCCACCTACCACGTCAGTGTCTGCCTACACCTGACCTCAACAGGACAGGCACTATGGATAAGATGCTCAAATCGCTGGCTGGAGTGGCCGCTGCTACCTGTTTTTTCCAGTGCTTGGTTTGTTCCCCAGCTTCACCAGCCTCTATGTTATTGCTGGAATGCTCATCAGTGAAAAGATCGGGTTAGTTACATCAGAAGCTTCCTCTACTGGTCTGAGGGTCAAAAGACTTTGCCAAAGTAAACAGGACGAAAATATCTCAGAGCAGTAAATAACTGCATAACATTTTTCATCTGTCTTTACATGCTATACATACCTCGCTCACTCTGCTTTAAATTTTTCTGTTGTTGCATCCATAAATCTCATTTATCTACTCTAGCCTGATGCCCTCTCATCCAGGAGTCTGCTCTTGGACTTGTCAGCTGTTTCCATCTCTGCATTCACCTTGTCTCTGTTTCTCTCTAATTTCCATCTGACCTATTCTGATACTTTCAAGACTTACTTCTACAACAGGTGCTCCCTAGATGCATTTTCCCATTCACTCATCCCTTACCTTACACAAATTTTTATAACTGCATGGTTCAATAGTTTGTTAATTGTTAATCTTAGAGTAATTTGTTAGTATTAAAAAGATCACATTGCTGAAGGACTTTCATTCTCTTCTAATAAACACAATGATACCTCAAAACACTGCTTTGTTATAAAAGTCAAGGAAGTATACAAAGTAAATTACAGGAAATTTCATCTTCCTTGAATTCTCACAAATTGTGTAATTATTCTCAATAAGGTCTCTATTTTAAAATGTTAATTTCTATCTTCAAAGAAGCCCAACTATTTTACTATGCAATAAATTTAAGACTGCCAGATTTTTGTTTTTAAATTAAACAAATCAGTCACAGGAAGAATCAATTCCTCAAAAAACTAAGAAACAAAAAAAGCTCTGAAATAGCATGTACCAAAAATGTAAACCATTATCTTTCATTGAAAAGCAAATAAAATTGATGAAATTTGATTTATATATATGTAACTACCCTGAAATCTTAATCACAGGTAGAAAAGTTAATACCTGTTATCACAGGATATACAGTTATATAGTGTGCTGATATGCAATTTAGTTATCCTTATTTTCTGTTGAAAAATTAAAGTATCTCTCACTAAAAAAATAAAAACCTTTAAGAAATCTGCTTTGGAACTAAGTACCCAAATAATGTTATCGGAAATTTTCTTTTTTTTTAATCTAGTAATTAACACAAGTAACCACATCCATTTTATAACATATAAACATACTATTTTTTGGTGATAGATAAAATTTAGCATATTACCTCTACATATTTTACTTCCATATTCAATTATAACAAATGATAACACTGCTTAAGTAATTATATAAAAGCCTTTACTTTGATAAAGTTGCTGCAGTACTGTAATGAATCCACTGGGGCTTCCAGAAGGGAAAAAATAATATGAATTCAGTGTGAAAACATTTAAAAGCACAGCCAAATGTCCCTGTTTGACTAGAACGTTTATGAATACCCATAAAACGAAAGCTGGCCTAAGATACTCTAAATTCCTCTTTCAAAGGGGTACTCAATATACTCCACAGAAAAGGAATTATTTAATAAAGCTAACGCTAGTTTATATTCCCAATACATGCCTAAAATTTAGGTGATTTTTTTTTTATTTAAGCTCTGGAGTTAAAAGAATACATTTTAGAAATCTCCAAAGCTAATAAATTTAATAGAAAAAATTGTGAATGTATTTTACCAAGTGAAGGTACCAGACCAACACTGTTCTGGATCCTAATGAAATCTAGACAATAATGTGTTTACTAGCCACAGAGCATTCTCCTTGTTTAATATGTGGGTTCTCACTACTGGTTTATCCATGACTACTGCATTATAAGTTTACATCCCCAACACAAGCCAAATATACTGGCTCTCAGGCAGGCAAGGCAGGCAGCAAATGTCTACCCCATGCTTAACAAGCTCCTACTGTTTACAAACCACTATGCTGCTACTATAAGATAAAGAAATTGGGAGATTATAAAATAGAAGGGAAAGCAAAACTTAGCTATATGTGAAAACTTAAAATGAGATACTATTACTTCTCAGTGCCAAAATGTCTGCCATATAGTCATTACTTGGTAGGTATCTATTGATTTTATCTGGATTACATGAAAGGTCAGATCCGTGGGTTTGACTATGAAAGTTTTTTTGATAAACCAATTGTTAGGGACAATAAGAATTTAAATATAGGGCAGTGCCTGTGGCTGAGGGAGTGGGGCGCCAGCCCCATATACCAAGGGTGGCAGGTTCAAATCTGGTCCCAGCCAAACTGCAACAAAAAATAGCCGGGCATTGTGGCAGGCACCTATTGTCCCAGCTACTTAGGAGGCTGAGGCAAGAGCTGGAGGTTGCTGTTAGCTGTGACACTCTGGCACTCTACCAAGGGTGACAATGTGAGACTCTGTCTCTTAAAAAAAAAAAAAATGTGTAATATAAGAAAACCTTCCATATCTTTTAGAGGCATATACTGAAAAACGTAAGGCTGATATGGGATGCAGTTAGAAGTTAGCTTTGAAATACTTCAGGGAAAGAAGGAAAGGAGGGAAAAAAGAAGAAAAGGAGGGAGCAAAGGAACATTAATAGCTGAATCAAGTGTGGCAAAAAATGTTAAGTGTGGGTGTAGGAAGATTACGGATCCATTATACTGTTCTCTCCCCACCTTAGGATCTGTTTGAAATCTTTGTAATAAATAATCCTTGAAATCTTTTTTTAATAAGTGGGGTAAATGAAGATGAATAGGCAGAATTTTAAAAGGAGGGCATTTTAGGTATACTGTCTCAACACTGGGCCGCCCAGCTGCCAACACACTGGCAATTCTCTTCAGTTTCTTGGCTGCACAGCGTAGCAGTCGGACCTCAGCAGCACTGAGTCCCTCAGCCCCCACCGCAGTTAGCCAGCCAGCTCACTCGCTTTTTCTAATTTTCCTGACAGCCCACAGGCTCATGCTCTTGGCCTTGTTCCATATACTACATTCATCCTTCTAAATTTTGTTTCTAATTCCATTTGTCTCCAATTCCTAGTAGTTAATAAACTCCGGCTGAAAAATGTAACACAGAAAGCTATGAGATAAGCATTAAATGATAAATTCTGTGGTAAATAACCTGTGTGAACTCACAGTCCCTTCAAGAACTCACGTTGTCTATTCTAACACGTCCTTGACACTTGGATGTTTCCACCAAGCTGGTAGGTGAGCCTGGAGGGGATGCCTGCTTTAAATATAAACACAGCTTCGCTTTCTGCTTTAAATTCCTGTTTGCCTTCCTAACACTTCTCAATAGTTTAAAAAAAAAATCTGATATAAAGGTTAGAAATACCTGCATCACAAATTCTCGACGTCGAGGCATTCCTCTTTCTGAAAGCAAAACATAATCTGGCTCTTTTTCCTTTTTGGCCTGTTGAATTTGAGCCAGACGGCTAATGGGGTTCATTCCTTGACCATATTCTGGACCAGCCTGAAAATTAATTTAAGAAAATGTGTCAAAATATGCTTGTAAACTTTATTATTAGATCCTTAAAGAAGCAATGGTTTTCTCCCTCCACTCCTACACTCCAAAACCATGACAGGAGAAGACAAATATGAGTCATTTATGAGAATTTCATAAGGAAAATCATAAAAAGGGTCTGTCACTAGCGCTTCCATGGGATTTGGGGCTCAGAGGTATTATTGACATTACTGACAAGTTGAGTCAAAAAATACGCTTTCAAAATTGAGTGAACTCTTCGATATAGCAGAGTTGCTTCACAACTTCTGTTCATCAGAAAACACAAAAAAAGAATGTGAAAAGACAAGTCATGAACTAGGATGAAATATTTGTTACATATGTAATTTAAAAAACATGTTATCTAATATTCAAAATGTATTTTAAAATTCCTAAAAGGTATTAAGGAAAAGAGAATCTGAAAGGAGAATGGACAAAAGAGATGAACAAATATTTCACAGAAGGAAAGAAACAGGAAATGATCCTCAACCTCATTAGGACGCTGAAAATACATATAGATTGAGCTGGCTCGGCGCCTGTAGCTCAAGCGGCTAAGGCGCCAGCCACATACACCTAAGGTGGCGGGTTCGAATCCCCAGCCCAGGCACGCCAAACAACAATGATGGCTGCAACCAAAAAAAAAAAAAAAAATAGCCAGGCATTGTGGCGGGCGCCTGTAGTCCCAGCTACTTGGGAGGCTGAGGCAGGAGACTCACTTGAGCCCAGGAGTTGGAGGTTGCTGTGAGTTGTGATGCCATAGCACTCTACCCAGGGGGATAGCTTGAGGCTCCGTCAAAAAAAAAAAAAAAAATTACTATTTCCTGCTCTTTTTTTTTCTTTATTTTTTGAGACAGAGTCTCACTTTGTTGCCCTTAGTAGAGTGCCAGAGGATCACAGCTCACGGCAAGCTCAAACTCTTGGGCTCAAGTGATTCTCTTGCCTCAGCCACCTAAGTAACTGGACTTCAGATGCCCACCACAATTTGTGGCTATTTTTAAAGATGAGGTCTTGCTCTGGCTCAGGCTGGTCTCAAATTTGTGAGCTCAGGCAATCCACCAGACTTAGCCTCCCAGAGTGCTAGAAGTACAGGTGTGAGCCACCACGTCTGAGTATTTCCTGCTTTTTTGAAAAAAGACAAGTCATAGGCTTGAAGAAAATATGAAAAAGACAAGTCATAGGCTTAAAGAAAATATCTGCAAACCACATATCTGATAAAGAACTTGTATCCAGAATGTATAAAAATCTCTAAAAATTCCGTAATAAATTTATTACTATTTTAAATAAGCAACCACTAAGCAGGCAAAAGATTTGAAAAGACGTTTCATCAAGAATCATGTGCCACTAAACATATAAAAAATCCTCAATATCACCAGCCATTAAGGAATGTAAATTAAAAATCACAATGACATACTAATAATATACATATATTTGCACATCTGAAATTTAAAAGACCACGCTAAGTGTTAGCAAGGACGTGGAGCCACTGGAATTCTCACACATTGCTGATGAGAATGTAACATGTTGCAGCTACTACCTCTTTGAAAAACAATTGTCAGTTTCTCAGAAAGTTGAAGATGCCTCTACTAAATGACCAAGACAAATGGAAGCAAATGGTTGTAAAAAGTTAAGCACACAAATGTTCATAGCTGCTTCATGTGTACAGCCAAAAATTAGAAACATCCCAAATGTGCACCAACAGGTGAAAAGATAAACAATTGGTGATGATATATAGATAGAACGAAATACTACTTAGCAATAAAACAGAACCAACAATTTATACATAAGACAATATAAATGAATATCAGAATAATTATGCTAAATGAAAGAAGCCACGACTCCCAGCTACTTTTTCTGCTTTTAGAAAAGATGATGTCTCACTCTTGCTCAGGATGGTCTCAAACCCCTGGCCTCAAATGATCAGCACCTGGCCTCCCAGAGTGCTAGAACTACAGGTTGAGCCACTGTACCCGGCCTACTAACAGGTTTTAAGCAGAGGCATGACATGATTAGATAAGGTACCTCTAAAGATCAGACATTTTTTAAAAAAAGATCATTTGGTGTCAAGAGCACTTGCAGGAGGGCTTATTAAAAGTTTACTGAGGTAGTTTAGGCAAGAGATGATGGGGAGTTGGACCAAAAGGTGTCAGAAGAGATGGAAAGAAACTTAAGAAATTATTTAGGTGGTAGAATCAATAAAACATAGTAATTTATGGGAGATAAGGGATAAGAGAGAAGTGAAAAGTGACTCCCAGCTTTCTGCTACAGCAGGTGGCTGGTGGTGCCAGTCACTGAGACAGAGAATGCTGGAGGAGAAAGGTTTGGTAAAGCAATACGAGGAGTTTGGGACACAGACGTGGCCGAGAAATACTAAATGAAGATGTCCAACAGGCAGTGTAAGCACAGACAAGTGTTTTGGAATTACTTGTAATGGAATTCAATGGAATTGGAACCCTAGAAGTAGAAGAGCAGCCTAGGGAAAGAGTAAGAGGAAAAAGACTGAGAACTTCACTGTTTCAGTGGTTAGGGAGAAAGCACAGGAGACTTTTGGCTTTTGATATTGGTTTCGATTTCTACTTATATCTTCCAAAATAAAAACTGAATAATTTATAAAGGCAATGAAGAAGGACTGATGTAAAAAGACAAATCCACACAACAATTCAAGTCTAAGACTGATATCCCAATGAAAAGGTAAAGAGAAGCTTTCAGTCTGGCACTAGAATATGCCCAGTTTGTGAAGAAGTTCAAAAAGTACAAATGTGTTTCCAGTGTTATTATTTTATTTCTATTTAATTTGACTCCAAGAATGTCTTTAAATTTCAAAGAAACTGTTGTTGATATAGGTTCTAATGACAAAGAACCAGATGCATAAATCAAATTTAGAAAATGATAAGAATGCTGAGAGCATTCAGAATACCTTGGTTTCTTTCTTTGCTGAAATGAACTACTAGCTCCCTTGAACATTAAGTTGTCCCTTGGACACTAAGTAATAGATTATCATCCTACAAACTAGTAAGGATGGTCCTATAATAGCTGTGTCCAGAACATCTTATCCCCTAACACTGGGAAACATTCTCTGATGTCACATTTTAGACGGAAACTGCTAAATAAATACATTAAAAAACAGGATGTAAACTCAAAGACATCATCAGGGCTGTTTTACGTGTTAACAGGGTAGCCTACAGAGTAAATCTTAAAATATAAAAGTTCACAATTAACCAGTTTCAAATGAGCACTGAGAAATACAATGAGAAATGACAACTGTATCAGAAACCCCTCACTGCTCCAGGATCTTGGGTAAGTTTCTTAAACACTAAGGGCCTCATCTGTAATATGGGAATGAATGCTACCTGCTATACCAGAGAGTGATCAAGAGGATCAAAGGAGACAATGCAATAGTTTTATTACTAAATGAAATCAAGCAAAGCATCACAGATAGTCCCTATTTCTGTTGAATTTAAGGAACTATAGACTCTAGCTATATAAGCCATAAAAGGAAGTGAGGAAAAGGCTGAAAATCAAGATATTATTACAAGCAAATCCATTTGTTGGCACATTATATGGCATGACCATAGTTAAAATTACCAACATTCCAACTCATTATATGCATGTTACTTTCTCAAAATAATCTTAACATTTCAGAGGATATCCACAGGCTTTATTTTAACAGAAGACAGACATGGCATAAGTAAATCCAAGTGTGATGTATGTGAGGAAAAATGCAGGAGGTCGACCTAATCTGGGAGTGGGAGATTACCAGAAAAGTATGCCTGGAAAAGTCAAGTTCAAGTTGAGATCCAAACGATGGATAGAAGGGAAGTTCTAGAATAATATGCTTTTATATTGGAAATAGTAGTGAATAATTCTGAGAAATCGAACGTTTCTCCTGTCCCCTATTTCTAAGAAATAACATTTAAACAATAATTCTGGTTTCAATAGCTATAGTTAAATCAAGAGTTAGCTGTCTATCCTACTATATTTATATCCTGCTATAGAAATATATACATCTTTCTAGCCTAACAGCTTATCGTTATTCTTAATTTATTAAGATTAGATTCTGTTTAATAGCTTAGATAGGAGTTACTGTGACCAGGTTTGTGCTGACATTCTTATATAAAACCTTGTTTTTTCATCATAGAAAAGCCATAGATTTTATAAGAGATCTAAGAAAACAGTTCATGGGTATATTCACATACATAAACAATAGGAATAGACAATATTAGATACAAAATACCAGTGGCTGTTTTTGAGGAGGTTGTTATTGAATATTACAGTATTCACACTGTTACTACTAACAGTAAATACTAATTACTAATGCACTCTGTGCATTGTCTCAGTTAATACAACAGTCCTATGAAGCAAGTACAAAAATACAATTTTTCTTTTTTTTTTTTTGGAGACAGAGTCTCATTCTGTTGCCCTCAGTAGAGAGCTGTGGCATCACAACTCACAGAAACCTCCAACTCTCGGGCTTAAGTGATTCTTTTATCTCAGCCTCCCAAGTAGCTGGGACTACAGGCACCCGCCACAACGCCTGGCTATTTTTGTTGTTGTTGTTCCAGTTGCTACTGCTGTTTTTGCTGGCTGGGGCTGGGTTCCAACCTGCCACCCTCGGTATATGGGGCCAGCACTGACCCACTGGCCCTGCCCTTCTTTTTTCCTTTTTATTTTGAGATAAACAGGGTCTCAGTTTGTCACCTGGGCTAACGTGCAGTGGCATAATCACTGCTCACTGCAACCTCAAACTCTCTGGCTCATGTGATCCTCCTGGTTCACCCTCCCAAGTAGCAAGGACTATAGACATACACCAGCATGCCTGGCTTTTTTTGTTTTTTTTTTTAATTTCTTACAAAGATGGGTCTCCCTATGTTGCCTTGGCTGGTCTCAAACTCCTAGGCTCAAATGGTCCTCCCACCTTGACCCCCCCCCCCAGAGTGCTAAGATTACAGGCATGAGCCACCATGACCAGATATAAGTGCAGTTATTCCTCCCATTATTATTATTAAATGTAAGAATAGAAAAGTTTTTCAAGTCATAGGAATTCGTATTCAAAACCAGCCCTAAAGGTCATGCTCTTCTATCCTACTCCCTGACTATGTGGTTAAGGCATGTGAATAAAAGCCATTACTTTTCAGAATCACTATGATTAATAGTAAGGGGATCTCTTTGGCATTTATTTTTAGTCTAACTTACATGTGATCTATAACGTTATTACAGAAAATGCAAAACCTACGTTTCTTCTAAGTGAAGTAACATCGGTAGCACTCATTAAGAAGAATAAATATTTATGCAGTTATTTATGTGTACTTGCATAAACTCTTGGGCTCAAGGATGGCTTGAGCACCTGAGTCTGAGGTTTCAATGAGCTAGGATGGTGCCACGATACTCTAACCCAGGCAACAGAGCAAAACCCCACCTCAAAAAAAAAAAAAATTGATTGTACTTTTTCCATAGGATTGTTGTAAGAATCAATGCATAAGTAATTACTAACTACTTATTATATATGGATTTTTAAAGAAAACGAAAGAACAAAGGTATAAAACCTATAAAAATACCTAAGTTGTGCCATTATACAAAAGAAAGTCATCAAAGATTAAACATATTTCTTATCTGTAAGTCTGCTAAATAAGTGAGACTGAGCTAGCAATTGAAATTCTGCAATTTCTCTTAAAATCTAGACCTTTCCTAAGAGCACAGAAATTTAGCTCCAAACATGTCATACATTTTAAGAATTCGTATGTAATGCCCTATACTAAATGCTGGTTCATTTCATTCCTCTGACCTTTGCCTTTTATTTCTTTGTAATGTAAATAAAATCTGATCCAATAAGAGTCACAACATTTTGAAAAGCTGTGTTCTGTACTCCTCATTAGCAAGGTATGACTGGATAAGTGGAAACAAAACAATATAATACCAAATCTACCTCACAGGGTTGCTATGTGGATTAAATGTGATGAAGCATGCAAGAGGCTGGGATAAAGTCTGGCATATAGCTGCTGCTGTCATTGTTATTAGTATTATTCATGTGATTATTACTACGTATCCTGTTACCATTTCATAATATCCTAAGAAGCTACTACATAGGAGCCTGTGTGCAGAAAGAACATTGAGTTAGAGATCCTAGCAGTCCAGGTTGTTTAACATGATAGCTCAATAAAAATGAGCACGTTCTTTGAACATGTCTTAGAGACCTTATTTATAAAATGAAAAATAACATCCTCTATCTTACATAGTCATTATAAAGGTTCTAGTAAAAATGACATGAATAGGAAAGCACTCTTTAAACAAGAAAAAACTACAAGTATCAAACATATTATTATTATTTGATAAACCAATCTAGGTACACAGACATTTAAAAAGCAAAACAGAATTGTCCCTAATTTACAGTCACATGTCCTGCCTTGATTCCAGTATTATATATAATCCATAGGTCAGAGATATGCCTTATAGGAAAACTTTTATTTCTAACTCCTGTCATACATATTTAATAGAACTGACTGGTGTTAAGCATACACTTACCTTTACTATTGTTTTAGGGCGTTTTTTAAAAAATAGTTTTGGCTTTTCCACCACAGGAAGAGGTGGAAGTTTTTTAAGCTCCTGTAAGACAGTAGTTGCAGCACGTTTCTTGGAGAGTTTTTTGCTATTTCCCTCTCCTTCTGCAGAAAACTCTCCCACTGACACACGAGTAACAAAGCTTTTCATATGTGGTGGTCCACTTTCTTTAATAACCTAAAAAATCCAAGTATAAGCACTTTAGAAGTAGTCTTACAATAAGACTCCTAATATTCACAACATAAACAAAATTATAATATTTCTTTGAGAATATAATATTCTCATTCATTTATGACACTTCATATTATGAACTGAAATTGGAGAACTCTAAACAAACACATTCAATTTATAGCCAATCATTTTATATTACCTAAAGCAGACTTTATGGTTTCCCCATGCCTTATGGAACATAAATTTAAGAACATAAATTTTATCATATTAGATGCTTAATTACATTGGCCATCTGGAATAATTACATATAGACCTAATTTTTTCCTGCTTAAGGGTAAGTTACTGGAGGACAAGGACCGTGTCTTACTGTAGTTCTGTAACTCATAAAGTATCCTATCTGTGCAAGCCTCTCAAAAACAGGTGATAGGTGAAAAATAACCTATTTTTGATAAATACCTCAAAGGCTATTTTATAGTAAAAGATATTTACTCTTATGACATGATCCTAAAAAGATAAGTAGATATGCCATAAAAATACCCAGCTATTTAGGGATTTGTCCTGCAAACTACTAATGAAATGTTCCTAAAACATATTTAATCTGCTCTCACTTTTAAGCTATGCCAGCTTTTGGAGAAAAGATGGCTTCGAAAATCTGAGCACTCAAACTTTGGTCTCCTTCAAAATTTTGACCAATAGAAGATACCTAGTTAGTTTACTGCCAGAAATTATATTGAAATTTTGTTTTTATTATTGGGTACCAATTAGGAAAAGGAACGAAGACAATACAGTATCTCAATAATCCAACGTTACTAGGAATAAGAAATTTATCACAAGCAAACTTTCCAACTAATTTAAGTTAACCAGGATAAACGCCAAAAGTGCTTATCTTAACCACTTTGATGTATATTCTTCTCAGTCAAAACAGAAAGAATATACATTACTGATTTAGTAGATATTAAATACTTAATCTTTTATGTCTCACATTAGATCATCTTTATAAACATCGAATATTTTATACTATATTGACATCCCCAAGGGTTTCTGAGACTTATAAAACTGTTCGTATTCACTGTAGCCTTTAACAGATCCCATGTTTCAATAATTTTCCAGTACATGCAGTTACTTCTGTAAGTTTTTTTTTTTTTTTTGAGACAGAGCCTCAAGCCGTCCCCCTGGGTAGAGTGCCGTGGCACCACAGCTCACAGCAACCTCCAACTCCTGGGCTCAAGCGAGTCTCCTGCCTCAGCCTCCCAAGCAGCTGGGACCACAGGCGCCCGCCACAACGCCGGCCATTTTTTTGGTTGCAGCCGTCATTGTTGTTTGGCGGGTCCGGGCTGGGGATTCGAACCCGCCACCCCAGGTGTACGTGGCTGGCGCCTTAGCCAGTTGAGCTATAGGCGCCGAGCCTACTTCTGTAAGTTTTCCACATTTTTGCCTATCATTTCTTGCTGGTATTAGTAGACACTCAAGTATTACCTGCCTTCCTCATTTTGCTTTAATCTGCTATGGGCAGAGAAATCAGATAAACTACTTGTCAGAACGGTGTCCAATAAGAAGGCAAGCAGTGTCCCGGTCCAGACTAGATGATCCCAGCAAGGGGATGTTATACAATGTGAAGGAGGACTCTCCACACTGCTTCAGGTTATTTCAAACAGGCCTATTTTCCAGATACAGGTTGCAAAATTAGTGATCTTTTAATAAGGGAGTTATTATTATAATGATTTTTCAAAGTTTTCTCTTTTAAATTACATATAATTTTATAAATATGCATGTGGCATATTTACCTAGTGGTAAAGTCAAGACGTGCTTAAATACTTTTTTTTCCCCTTGGAGACAGAGTCTGACTATGTCACCCTCGGTAGAGTGCCATGGTGTCACAGGTCACAGCAACTTCTAACTCTTGGGCTTAAGCCTCCCAGGAGGTCTTGCCTCAGCCTCCCAGGAGCTGGGACTACAGGTGCCCACCACAATGCCTGGCTATTTTGTTGTTGTTGTTGCAACTGGCATTGTTGGTTAGGTGGCCCAGGCCGGGCTCAAACCCACCAGCCTCGGTGCATGTGGCTGGTACTGTAACCACTGCACTATGGGTGCCAAGCCTGCTTTAACACTTCTTGATTTTGTTAAATAATTAAGGTTAAAGTTAACCATATTTTGGCCTCCACACAATTAAAACAAATTGGATATTAATACGTAGGTGTCACTAAATATTGAGTATTTTTAGTTTGATCCTATTTGAACACCAAATCCTACAGGCTACTACAAGTTATCTTCTACCCAGAAAGTAAGTGTTACGATGAAAGCTGAAATATCCTGTCTACAAATCGCTTAATATAGAAACTACACAGAAATCAGCAGGAATCCAAGACATCATTACATCATTACCATTTCTATCTTCCCCAGGGTCTGTATCATTTCATGATAGTGGATTTGAACATAAGGAGGCACATTAACTCTTGCATGATACCAGTATACCAGTTATTTTATTTAAGTAACCAAAGCAGGAAGAAAAACTAGATTTCTGCTGAGCACATACCTCAAAACTGACAGGCATATTCCGCTTCAGAGCAATTTCAAACACTAAGCTGATCTCAGATTTATTTGCATCTTTGTCATCATCCATTTCTTTTCCTGATTCACCATTCTGAATCACAAAAAACAGGATAATATTGAATCTGAATCCTGACTTTATAACAAACTTTACATGTATTCTATAGTCAAAAAAGCCCATCTACACTACAATGAAAAGCAACAAACTATAGACTGTATCTAGCGGATCTGGAGCAATCACAGTAGTCGAGGGCTTTGCTGCAAGGCTTTTTGTTACTTGTTTTTTAGCTTTTTTCTTAAGTAAAGTTACTTAATACTGAGTTTAGAAAGCTTTCACTCAACTATGCACTAATTTGAGTTGATCTTATTTCCCTAACTAGTCCTCTTATTTTAGAGATCTCTACCCACCCTATCCCTGCCACCCCATGATTCCTGCGCTAATGTTCTAACATGAGCCATGAAGACTAAGTTACAGAAAATACACAGGATGCGGCAGCACTGGCTCCAATTCGCTTATTCACTGATTTAACACATACTTCTAGAAGGCTTAGTATATGCTGAATACAGTGTAACTCTTAAAGATAAGGAGATAAAGTATTCCTGCTGTCAAAAATCTTAGATCTAGTTGGAAACCAAATAAAGAGTTACAATGAAAAAATACAAGCAGAAAAACACCTAACTCAGCCATTAAGATAAATCTCAAAGGAGGACAAACAAGTCTGGGGAAAGGAGAATTGCAGAAGGTGAACCATAGCGTTTGAAATAACTAAGTGGAGGCTGGGCCTCTGTGGCTCAAGCGGCTAAGGTGCCAGCCACATACACCTAAGGTGGCAGGTTCGAATCCCCAGCCTGCGCCCGCCAAACAACAATGATGGCTGCAACCAAAAAATGGCCAGGTGTTGTGGCAGGCGCCTGTGGTCCCAGCTACTTGGGAGGCTGAGGCAGGAGACTCGCTTGAGCCCAGGAGTTGGAGGTTGCGATGCCATGGCACTCCACCCAGGGGGATAGCTTGAGGCTCCATCTCAAAAAAACAAAAAACAAAAAAAAAAAAGAAATAACTAAGTGGAAAAGTCCAGTAAGAAGGCAACTGTACCATAGGTAAGACTTGCCTGAGTGAGATACTATTTTGAAGTAAGAGAGAAAGTACCTAAAGCCTGAGAATAAATGAGATTACTCAAGAGTAGCCTTAGTATTCACATTTGAAAAATAAATTAGGACCAAAAAATCCATAAAAATCTCTAAATTCTTTGACTCTAGATTAACATAATAAAACCTATACTCAATAAACATAGCATTAGGTGCAAGGCAGATAAATGTTATTTCCCATCCTTATACATATCCCCAAATCCCAAATTGCCTGGGAGGTGAACTCCAGAACTAAACTAATGTTCTAAAAGGTAAGGCCATCTTGGCAGGAACACCTGAGTCTAGTACAGCAGACAGCCTTGAGAAGCAAATCTTAGCAGATTATCACTCTAGTATTCCACTCTACTGGAACAGATTCCTTTACTTATAAAATGCATTTACTCGTCTTCACAATAATCCCACCAGGAACATATAAGAAAGAGATTGTCATCTGCAGCAATGCCACACCTGATGGGACTTTTCTGGAATGGGCTCGTTCTGCAGGGCTTGCAGAGCTTTCATTGCAGCATTGTGTCTAGCAGCTTGTCGGGTCTTTCCTTCCCCGAAAAATTCATTGTTTCCTACAGTCAGCTGGACGTAAAAGATCTTAGGCATTGGGCAGTGATACCTAAAATAAGAAAACAAAAACATTAGTATTAGTTCAGTAAAACCACTCTCTAAGCATTAGAACGATTTCTTTTGTTTAAAATGATACCAACTATAAAGCTGGGTGCAGTGGCTCAGGCCTGCAATCCTAGCACTCTCAGAGGTGGAGGCAGGTGAACTGCCAGAGCTTAGCAGTTCAAGACCAGCCTGAGTAAGAGTGAGACCCTGTCTCTTAAAAAAAATAGCCATTGGGTGGGTGCCTGTAGTCTCAGCTACCCAGGAGGCTGAGGCAAGAGGATCACTTGAGTGCAAAAGTTTGAGGTTGCTGTGAGCTACAATGCCTTGTCTACCCAGGGGGGACAGAGTGAGACTCAAAAAAAAAGATACCAGCCATAGAATGCACTATACTCTCCTATTAATCGTAATAAAATTTTGACTTCATTAATGTACTTATAAAAGATAAAATGTGAGTCCATATATTGATACTTAATAGTATATACTGATCTGCATTAAAAGCATATATACAACACTAAACACAGAGGAAAAAATTATTTAATTAATCATAATAGACTTTCTGATTAGAAGTTTTCAGTTCAGTCAGATTTTGACAGAAGTGAGCCAAATGGTCTCGTGCTAAGGACAAGGGAGTTATTAAAGGAACAGGAGATAAGCAAGCCTATTTAGGTAACAAAGTATAGATTACTGTGCTTCTAGAAGATAATCAATGATTAGAAATATGGAGGCAGAGAGACAGACTTAGCATGATACAAAGTAGTAAGGAGATCAGATTCAACGTAAGAAACAATAACTTGTTTAAGCCAATTCTTAAGCAGAAAGTGTCATATTAATATATACATATATATATATATATTTTTTTTTTTTTTTGCATTTTTGGCTAGGGCTGGGCTTGTAAAATATACTTTAAGGTGAAAAATTTTAGCAAGTTTGTGTTTAATGAGACTAAAGTAACGAGGCAAGACTAGAAATTTCAATAATGAAGATAGAAGGGCATAAAAGAAATGGCGAGAAGAACAAACCTAAGAGAAATTGAGAAGAAAATATTAAGAGGATATGCAATAAAATCCATTAATTCAATAATTATTGATAGACTGCCTTCTATGAGATAGGGGAATATGACAATGAATAAAAAAATTTACATTATAGTGGAGAAGACAGCCAATAAATAAGATAAATGTGTAGAATACATAGGGATATATGTAACAAAAAGTAAAGACGGAAGGATACAGAAGTGTCAGGGATGTGGATTGAAGACAGAGTAGGTTTCATTAAGAAGGTACCAACTGTGGTATCTGGAAGAGTGCATCGGAGGCAGGGAGAACACAGACCGCAAAGGCCCCGAGGCAGGACTGTGCCATCCGTGTCCAGGTAGTGGGGAGGCCTGTCTGGCTAAAGGGAGTCCAATTCCACAGAGCTGTCCCTAGAAACCGCTGGAACGACGTTTACCCTGAGTGAAATGACCAGCCACTGGAAGGTTCCAAGGAGAGATGTGACAGGATCTGAGTTACATCTTAGTAAGATCATCTGACTATACTTTGTTGAGGACAAACTGTAGGGGAATGTTGTTAGAAGTAGGAAGATCTATTAAAAAAACCTGCCATGATAATTCAAAGAAAAGGTGACAGTGGCCTGAACTAGGGTGCAGCAGTAGAAGTGATGAGAAGTTGTACTCTAGATGAATTTTGAAAGTAGAAATGATAGGTTTACTCAAGGATTGGCTAAGGAATATGGGGGAAGGGGGACTGTCAAGGATGACCCCAGGGTTGTGGAACTAATAAGGAAGTGAAATATGGAATACCCATATATTGAGACAGAGAAGACTGCAGACGAACTGAATTTTCTGGGGGTGGCTAGCAGCAGCTCTCTTTTGGAGATGTTTAATTATTGGACTTATTAGACATCCAATTGGAGATGTCAACTGAACAGCTGCATTTATGAGACTAGACTTCAGGAAAGAGACTCAAGGTGGGAATCATCAATATACAGATGGTATTTAAAGCAATAAAACAATGAGAACTCTGTGGGAGGGAGTGATAGAGAGAAAAACCAGGCCAGGATGAAGTCCTTCCTAACAGCCAAATGGAAAAAATGTGTATCAAGAAGGGAGGGAGTCACTGCATTTAATGCTATTCACAGGTAAAAGGATAACTGAGAAATATGACCAATGAATTGAGCACTTTAGCAAAATGAACAGGCTCGATTTTAAAGAAATGATGGATTTACTATTATAATACTGAAGAATAAGTTAAGAATCACTCCAGTGCTAGGAAATGTTTGTTTCTCAGCAAAAAGAAGTTCAGTTGAGGTTCTGCTATGTTTTAGATGATTATTGGACATCCACATAGTGGTGTTTTGTATTCACTGAAATAAATTGTCCTTCATGTAGGAATTCACCACTCATGGTGGTAAACCTGTGGTCTCAAGGCCACACGTGGCCCTCCAGATTCCCAAGTGCAGTCCCTCCACTGAATCCAAACTTCACAAAACAATTTCCTTTACTAAAAAGATTTGTTCTGTAAAATTCAGTCAAAAGGTCACACTTAAGGATGGAGAAGGCCACATGTGGCCCCAAAGCCTTAAAGCTTGACAAGGTTTAAGATGAAGGACTAGAGATGTTGATTGGTAGTGAAGATGCAGGTTTTCGAGGCAATAATTGAAACCACATGAGTGGATAAACACCTGGAAAGGGTATGAGTAAAGGAACCAAAAAAGTGCCTAAGGCTGGGATCTGATTGATGCCTATGATCAAAGTGCAGGGGAAACAATAGGCGGCAGTGAAGGAGATGAAAGAGAGTCGGAGAGAAATTACAACACAACGTCAGGGGCAAGGGTAATCAGCAGCATCAGACGGAGTGGAGAAATCCAGAGAGTATGAAAACGAGAAGAAGTTGCTGCTCTAAACTCTTATCTTAAAATCAGTTTTATTCGTCTATACTTTGCTATTAATTTGTTTTAAGACAAGCTTTTTTATTTCCACGCCTTTGTATCTTTTCTAAGGACAAAGTGTTTTAAATGTGTTTGTCTTATATAAGTCAGATGTTCTCATTTTTAAATTAGTGAATATTAAAAATTTTTTTAAATCACTTACAGTAAAGACTACTTTTAACAAGCAAAAAGTAAAAATCATTAAAAACCATGATCTTTTTTTGCTCTTGGTTTAGAATAACCAGTATTGAAATATACAATTTTCTATTGCCTATGTTCCTTTAAATCTTTTTAATGCAGAAATTTCAACAGACTAACATGAATAATGCAGATTACCTTAACTTTTTATTTCATAAAATTAAGTGTTCCCCTGTCCACAGAACTTTATGCACATTTTAACTAGTTCTACTATAAAACTTTAAAACAGACAACGAGAAATCAGAAATCTACTCTTGAACTAAGATCTTACGTGGCAAGTTTTCACCATAGAGCAATGTTTACAATTAATTATAAACTTCTGAAAATAGAGGTCCACAACTGGAATGCTAACAGACCTTTAACTACGGTAGAGGGAGTGGGCGCCACTATAATCACTAAGGCCTGCTGACAATTACAAAACTCATTTTGGTTTGCCACAGAGACAAACAAAATTTCTGTTCATTATAACTTTACTGGAGTATGATGTCATAACATATAACCATACTGAAATAATCTGCTGATTTTCTGACCAAAATTATTAATTGCACCCTACAGAGCCCTTGGGGCCTCTTCCTTTTTGGTCATCAAGTGGTTCTATGTATGTGTATGTGCATGCATGTCAATATATATGTATATATAAATTATATCGTATAAGTATCAGAGGGAAAATTAAGTATGTTGTATTTTTAAAATAAAAAGTAAAATATCCTCACTCTAACAACAGGAAATACCAAGACCGGATGCCTGACTTGTTTCATTCCAGTTTCACTTCATCCTCTTACTTAACAATGAGTCTTAATAATACATCCCACGTGGTTTGAATACATTACATATCACATCTCCTCATATCATCATGGCAATTAAGATTAACCAGAGCACTCTCATTAATGGCATCCAGACTAAACTATAGGAGAGAGAATATAGAATGTTTTTTGTGTGCTAGGTCCAGATCTCAAAGTATTTATTTCCTTTGGTAAAGGAACACACAAAGTTCATCAACTTTAATGGTTGATATGTAATGGAGTTCCTCCTTCTATTTTTCTTTATTTCAAATATTAAGCTCACTTTTGGTAAGGAACCTATAATATGAATATGTTTCTACAAGTTAGTATACATGCTGTTATTTACCTAATTGGACATAGCTGCTCTTGGATGATTTTCCTCAAACAGAATTTTGTGGTCAATACAAAGATTTCCACAGCAACTAATGTTAAAAGATGAGCCATGAAAACCCATCATCCATCCAGGCTATTTAAGTTTCAAATGGCTTTTCTTACCCACAGCCTCCAAAGTGTGATGCTTTCATCAGAAATCTCTTTAATGCTTATTAAAATTGCACATTCCTATCCACCAACCCTGATCTGCTAATGAATCTCTGGGATGGAACAAGAATCACGAGGTGCCCTTTATACACTAAAAGTCTGAGAGCCACTACGCCAGGATATCACTACATCCCACAATGTGGCCTGTATGACTTGGCAATTGCTTCGAACTCCATTCAAGCAATGGACCACATACAATCCTTAAAGCACCATGGTTAAGTCTCTTATTCAATCCTCACAGAAGTCTCACGAGACAGAAGACATCCCCAAGGTCACCATGGGGATAAATCTCCTCCAAAGAATTACTGGGAGTCAAATTCAAGTCTGCATACTTTCAGAATTTAGGAAATTCTTAAAGCGTTTCCTAAAAATCTGCTTTATCCTTGGCTATTTTTGTTAAGCCAGAAAACCAAATGCAAGGAATCTAAACTAAGACCCACTGATGGACTTCAGATGCATTTCTACAGCACGTCAAATCAAAAACTGACATACCTGAGCAACCTATAAGAGTATAAAAGTCAGAACAATGGACATTATGGGCCATATTGTCTAAGAGTCTAAATTTTAAAAAGGCCTGCAAGCCTTTTTCCATGCTTCCTTGCCCTCCA